CTCTCTTGGCGGCATCTAACTACTGCAATTTTTAAATAAAGGAAGTGCAGCGTGCCACCGGGCAAAGGCAACGGTGATTAGCTGAGAATTCTCAGCCAATCAGCTACTGCTCTTTTTCAACACTGTCGTGTAACAGGTACCTTTCTTTTCAAGACAGTTAATTCAATGTGGAGTCACTGATTGGCTCAGAACACCAGCTGACACAGGTTTCTCACAGGTGGTGACCCTGTCCGGCAACAATCTACACTTACGGTAAGTAAAAATTAAGAAGTCGGATGTCGCCTGGGGATGAACTGAGACCGGCGCAGGAGGCAACCTTGGTGTTAAAACATTCTCGAATGGCTGAACACCTGATGGTAAGGGTTCAGCAGGTTAGGACTTTGAGAGTAATATGCTATAATAACTTAATTTTCAAAAAGTTGTTATGATGCCTATACTGTCTTATCTGTCACGTATTCATCCGCACATAAAAATGTGGTTAATGGCATTTACTGTCCTGACAGGAAAAGTTGTGCCAAGCAATATTACTGTCCTGACAGGAAAAGTTGTGCCAAGCAGCATTACTGTCCTGACAGGAAAAGTTGTGCCGAGCAGCAATCAAATCCACAGGAAGGTTTGTGCTGAGCAGCAATCATGCAAATGGAAACCTGGTAATTGCCTTTGGGGTCAAAGGCCAGTTACAGCCAATCAGATCCACAGGAGGGGTATTTAGGCCCAGTTATCCTCTTGCTCATTGCCCTGTCGTGGTTTCATGCCTATGGTTATTCGAGAGTGCGTTCCTGATCTTGATTTTCTGGTATTTGACTTTGGCTTTGTTTTGACTTCCCTGGTATCCTTGACTTTTGGCTTTCCCTCATCTTTGTGTCTGATTCTGTGTCCCTGACCTCGGCAAGTATTTTGACTATTCTTGGAGACATTCTAAGTCCGGGCATTCTAAGGTCCAGTTATACGTTATCCTTAGTTCTAGGTGTGACACAATACTGCGTGCTGGATCAACTTGTAATCCTGACACTATCGTGTTGTCCTAAAAGAAACCAACCCATAACTATATATATATATATTTTTTTATAGGCTACCCAGGTATTTTTTTTTGCAATTGTTTTTATAAGAGAATACATGTCTAAAGGTAATAAAAAATATAAAGTACCCAAGTTGTTATTAAACACACTTTTAATATCAATATTAAAATGTTTTAAAAAATAAATTAACACATTAATAAATGAATAACAAAATATTTTTAAATAATTTAATTCACACTAAATGCTTCATAACTACACAAGTAATAATGTAACCAGTTTGACCTTATTAAGTATGTGTATTAACACAGTGACTAGAGTTAAAAATATTTAGAAAAAAACATAGGTTTTAACAAGAAATATTAATCACAATCAAGTTAACTTTGGAAACCATGAAATATAAAAATAAGAAAACAGAGCAACAATTCCCTTGAAGAGTGTGTGTATACAATGCAGAGCGTGTGTTTTTATGAGTGTGTGTGTGTGTATAATGCAGAGTGTGTGTTTGTATGAGTGTGTGTGTATATAATGATGAGTGTGTGTATATAATGCAGAGTGTGTGTTTGCGTGTGTGTGTATATAATGCAGAGTGTGTGTTTGTATGAGTGTGTGTGTGTAATGCAGAGTGTGTTTTTGTATGAGTGTGTGCATACAATGCAGAGTGTGTGTTTGTATGAGTGTGTGTGTATATAATAATAAAAATCACAGAATTTCATAGCCCCAAGTTTTACCCTCGACTTATCCACGAGGCATAGCATACTTCACAATTGTTGGTCACAAAACTGCACTTGACTTATACACGAGATCGACTTATACACGAATATATACGGTAACTTTGGTGTAATAGACAGTTATACTAAAAAAAAAAAAAAAAGAGGGGAAGCCAAGCATGTCTGACACTCAGCAAATGAAAAAGGCTTCACTGGACTTGTGGTAATCCAGGGTAGCACTTTTCAAGCGCTGAGCAACAGTGACGCTTTGTCCTAAAATATTCATAAGGATTTTAACAGCAGCAGGGACATTTTTTTATTGAATAAACTATAACTTTATTTTTATAAAAAAATAAAAAGAGAGGAAAAATAAACTCAAGAAAGGGATAACAATGATATACATGATAGGTAAAAGTCATACAATTAAAAAAATAAAATGAATAATATAATAAATTATTAAAAATAAATGAATAAAATATTACAGTACAAGAGATGAATGTACATTATAATATGTAATATTTATAATGTAAAATATCTTAAAAATTTATAAAAATAATAATTATATATATATATATATATATATATATATATATACAATTGTTAATGGTTAAAAGGGTAAATAAAATTAGAAAAATGATTATATATTAACTCATAAAAACTAAATAGATATTCAATAATAAAAAAAAAAGGGTACTTACTGTCTAATGCAGGCGTGCTCACATCGGAGCTCCCTGCATCAGACGCATGTGACGTTAGACGTCCTCATCCAAAAAATTAATGACCGTTTTTCCACCAAAAATAAAATTATTTGTAGGAAATTGGGCCCATCCAAAACTAATTATAATTTTTATTATAATATAGTTACAACCATATAGGAAAGCACAGGAGGCTGGCAATACAAATAGGAAGTTGAGTTCAAATTAAACAGTTTCACATAAGAAAACTGATTATTTAGATTCCTATGCTCATGCACTCAGAAGCGAATGTGGATACTAGGACCATGTCCCCAATAGAGAAGAGGAGGAAAGTTTTCAGGGGAGATCGAGAATCCCCAACGAAAAAAAACATCACCAGTTATTTCAGACCCCGGGAAGAACGATGCGAACATCCCAATCGCTTCTCTCCCTTATATAGGGAATCCCCTCAAAAGAGAATGATTTAAGATTTTCCAACTCCACAGAGGAAGATAGTTTAGAGAATCAACATCCAACGAGGGATCAATTTTTTCGATGGCTCCTTTATCTGCAGATGGTGGGCAACGCCATGGGCACCAGGTTCGCCCCCAGTTATGCCATACATGCGCAGATGGGAGGACCTCTGCGTGTAGTCGGGGCATGACTGGGTGGGGAACCTGGTCCTATGACAGCATTACATCAATGATGTGGTGATTATTTGGAAAGGATCAGAAGCTGAATTTATGTCATTTGTTCATTCTCTCAATCAAAACGACTATAATTTGAGATTCTCCCCAGTATAGGACCGTAAAGAGATCAATTTTTTGGACCTGACCCTTTTTTGTGAGGGAAGTGAAATTAAAACCAAGTGCTTTTTTTAAGCCTACAGATGGGAACAGTTACGTCCATAAACAAAGTTGCCATCATCAACCCTGGTTAAAGGGTATAGCCAGAGGGCAATTAACGAGAGTTCGATGTAACTGTTCCCATATAAATGATTTTCATACACAGGCACAACATATAGCTGGAAAACTTATACATAAAGGCTATAATCGCAGAAAAATTGAGAGAGAGATACATACTATATCTAAAACAGATAGGAATTAACTTTTAATGGAGAACCCAAAAAGAAAGAATGAAAGGGGGATTTTTCAACAAGCTTTTTTTTAACCAATTTAACAGCGATCATCCAAAAATTAAAAGAAGTTTGCAAAAATACTGGCCCATACTTTTGGAGGATCCTGTTTTAGGCAGTTTTCTGGACGCAGACAAAGGGTTTTAGAGGGTGCCAACAATTCCCAGGTTAACACCAGTCAAGCTAACTCTTTTTGTTGGCTCCGCTAATGACCGTTTATTTTCCATCCGGACAAGCATTGGCTGCCGCTCGGATTTTGTGGTTTATTTGCTGCGGTGTCCTTGTGGCAGCCAGTATGTGGGCCGTACAAAAAGGTGTTTAAAAGTGAGGTTTATGGAACACATTAATAACATCAAAATGAAATTAGAGACCCATTCTGTTCCCCTCCATTGTAATAATTGCCCCCTTTTTTCTTTGAAGCAACTATGATGCATAGGTATAGAACGTGTGCTACCCCATTGGAGAGGGGGAAAAAGGGAAAGGAGGTTAGCCCAAAGGGAGACATACTGGATCCACGAGCTGGGAACGTTATCCCCAAGAGGCTTAAACATAAACGTGGATCTAGTGTGCTTTCTAGGGTAATTTGGTAGATTAGTTGGATGTCCATTTTATCTTTTTTTCTTCCCTCTTTTTGTATGCTCTAGGAGACTCCATTATATTCACTATATCTCTCCACTGTTTATAGTAAGACTTTTCATTCAGACTAACCTTCTTTCCTCCGCCCTACAGATTTTTGTTTTGGGTGTTATATTAATAGTGTTCCTGGTGTGTTAGTAGGGATCTACAAGTTGGAGACCACTAACAGATTCAATATGATTTATATACATAAAATGATTGAAAAAACTAAATAAAACTATTATAGTACTAAATTTGAAACATCTAGACTGGATTGGACACACTGTTATGTATATGTTAAATAAGTGAAAATACTAAATAAAACTAATGGGTCAAGAAAAAGCACAATATGGATTTGTAGAATGGTATTCACTGTACACCTTCTTTTATATGAATTAAGTTTATCTATTAATTGATTTGGAGTTGATAACTTGTTTTTGTTTTAATTATGATTCGATTCAATAAAAGTGATTTAATATAAAAGGCTTAATAAGGATATGAACAATGTATATGGATCATTGGATCATCCTAGCAGCCGGGGCACCCTGCGGTCATCTCTGAAGGAGGATTTAAAAAGACCCCCCATCTACATCATGGGGAGGCACCTTTAATAATTTGGAATCTGTGAGTGTAATAGAATAATTTTATAACAGTTCCAGACAATATTGCACTACGTTTTGTCCTTTATTTTTAGGCACATCAGCGGAATCCCTAAATTCCCTATCTTGTATATACAGACAGACAGTTATAGCTGATGGGACAGACAGACAGACAGTCACTGCATGCCATCCTTCCTGCAGTGAGTGTGGTGGAATGTGAGAAGCCCCGCCCCCTGGCTGCGGTAGTCGCAGGGTGATGACGTGGCGGCTGGGTTTGTTTACTGCTACGTGTTCGGGAAGTGCTGGGGGTTCGGTCGCGGTTGGCGCTGTGGCCCCCGGGAGCCGGTACCGGCCGCAGGATGAGCTGGTTTAACGCCTCGCAGCTCTCCAGCTTCGCCAAGCAAGCGCTATCACAGGCACAGAAATCCATCGACAGAGTGCTGGACATCAAGGAGGAAGAGACAGCCTGGGCCGACTCCATCATAGGATCTTATACTGAGGGTGAGAGAGAGAGAGACTCCATCATAGGATCTTATACTGAGGGTGAGAGAGAGAGAGAGACTCCATCATAGAATCTTATACTGAGGGTGAGAGAGAGTGAGACTCCATCATAGGATCTTATACTGAGGGTGAGAGAGAGAGACTCCATCATAGGATCTTATACTGAGGGTGAGAGAGAGAGACTCCATCATAGGATCTTATACTGAGGGTGAGAGAGAGAGACTCCATCATAGGATCTTATACTGAGGGTGAGAGAGAGAGACTCCATCATAGGATCTTATACTGAGGGTGAGAGAGAGAGACTCCATCATAGGATCTTATACTGAGGGTGAGAGAGAGAGACTCCATCATAGGATCTTATACAGAGGGTGAGAGAGAGACTCCATCACAGGATCTTATACTGAGGTGAGAGAGAGAGACTCCATCATAGGATCTTATACTGAGGGTGAGAGAGAGAGACTCCATCATAGGATCTTATACTGAGGGTGAGAGAGAGAGACTCCATCATAGGATCTTATACTGAGGGTGAGAGAGAGAGACTCCATCATAGGATCTTATACTGAGGGTGAGAGAGAGAGATCCATCATAGGATCTTATACTGAGGGTGAGAGAGACTCCATCATAGGATCTTATACTGAGGGTGAGAGAGAGACTCCATCATAGGATCTTATACTGAGGGTGAGAGAGAGAGACTCCATCATAGGATCTTATACTGAGGGTGAGAGAGAGAGACTCCATCATAGGATCTTATACTGAGGGTGAGAGAGAGAGACTCCATCATAGGATCTTATACTGAGGGTGAGAGAGAGAGACTCCATCATAGGATCTTATACTGAGGGTGAGAGAGAGAGACTCCATCATAGGATCTTATACTGAGGGTGAGAGAGAGAGACTCCATCATAGGATCTTATACTGAGGGTGAGAGAGAGAGACTCCATCATAGGATCTTATACTGAGGGTGAGAGAGAGAGACTCCATCATAGGATCTTATACTGAGGGTGAGAGAGAGAGACTCCATCATAGGATCTTATACTGAGGGTGAGAGAGAGAGACTCCATCATAGGATCTTATACTGAGGGTGAGAGAGAGAGACTCCATCATAGGATCTTATACTGAGGGTGAGAGAGAGAGACTCCATCATAGGATCTTATACTGAGGGTGAGAGAGAGAGACTCCATCATAGGATCTTATACTGAGGGTGAGAGAGAGAGACTCCATCATAGGATCTTATACTGAGGGTGAGAGAGAGAGACTCCATCATAGGATCTTATACTGAGGGTGAGAGAGAGAGACTCCATCATAGGATCTTATACTGAGAGAGAGAGACTCCATCATAGGATCTTATACTGAGGGTGAGAGAGAGACTCCATCATAGGATCTTATACTGAGAGAGAGAGACTCTTCATAAAATCTTATAATGAAGGTGAGAGAGAGACTCCATCATAGGATCTTATGAGGGTGAGAGAGAGACTCCATCATAGGATCTTATACTGAGGGATCTTATAATGAGAGAGAGAGACTCCATCATAGGATCTTATAATGAGGGTGAGAGAGACTCCATCATAGGATCTTATAATGAGGGTGAGAGAGAGACTCCATCATAGGATCTTATAATGAGGGTGAGAGAGAGAGAGACTCCATCATAGATCTTATAATGAGGGTGAGAGAGAGAGACTCCATCATAGGATCTTATGAGGGTGAGAGAGAGAGTGAGACTCCATCATAGGATCTTATAATGAGGGGGAGAGAGAGACTCCATCATAGGATCTTATAATGAGGGTGAGAGAGACTCCATCATAGGATCTTATAATGAGGGTGAGAGAGAGAGAGACTCCATCATAGGATCTTATAATGAGGGTGAGAGAGAGAGAGACTCCATCATATGATCTTATAATGAGGGTGAGAGAGAGAGACTCCATCATAGGATCTTATAATGAGGGTGAGAGAGAGAGAGACTCCATCATAGGATCTTATAATGAGCGTGAGAGAGAGAGACTCCATCATAGGATCTTATAATGAGGGTGAGAGAGAGAGACTCCATCATAGGATCTTATAATGAGGGTGAGAGAGAGAGACTCCATCATAGGATCTTATAATAAGGGTGAGAGAGAGACTCCATCATAGGATCTTATACTGAGGGTGAGAGAGAGAGGCTCCATCATAGGATCTTATACTGAGGGTGAGAGAGAGAGACTCCATCATAGGACCTTATAATGAGGGTGAGTGAGAGACACTCCATCATAGGACCTTATAATGAGGGTGAGAGCCAGGGGGAGCACTGACAGGGGCCCCAGTCTTTATACGACTCTTTAATAAGGATTAGAACTGTCTCCAGCATTGGCAACATGCCAGCCCTCACTGATCCCTAGCAGAACCCTGTAATTAGTTATAGATGGAGAAGCCCATCATAATTCATCAGTGAGTATCGCTCTTTAGTGGGACTGTCTTCCACTCCCTGGTGAATCTGGCAACCCGAGCACTGACAAGCTGTCATAGGCAGATGTGTTTCTGTCACTTCCATGTGTGTCAGCTTATCTGCCCCCTGCCTGTAGGTGAATCACCCACTAACTATACACCAGGGGTTTTACTTTGTGTGTGTGCGCATCACTTCTTACCAGGACTTGAAGAGAACCTGAAAAAATCATTTTGCGTGATATCGCTCCTGTATATATTGAACACACTATATATCACAAAGATAGATGGTATTCTCAATGTAAAATATAGAGATTTAATCCCATGTTCCAGCGCTGCAATATTCAAGCTTCGTGGGTGTTACTCTTCATGTAACAGCCACTTCTGGGCCGTCCACCTCTCTGCCTTCTGTCTTCATAGATTTGCACTGCTTGGGGATGCATGGCTAAGCAGGGCAAACATTCTCAGTGACCTGCGTCTTAACAGAGTGACTACATGTCACTCTGTTCCTATACTACATGTCACTCTGTTCCTATACTACATGTCACTCTGTTCCTATACTCCCTAGCCAGGTCTAGAAGCGCAGGCTAGGGAATTTCCATAGCAACCACAGCATAGATATCTTCTATGACATGTAATTGTTGAACCAGTTGACGCACACTGTAATTCTACTTTATCAGTTAGTCGCTATCCTGTTTATCAACTATTTACGATCTTCCGCATGTCTTTATAGCCATTGTAATGTTAGGTGTGACTCTGCCTTTCATATTTATAGTTCTTGTAAGCATGATGTGGATAGAATATTTTAGATGATATAAAGGGTTTACTTTTAAATATCCTATTTACAGGTTTTGATAAATAATAAAACAATTGAAAGCTTCCTGTATAATACTTCAGTGATATTATTGTCACTGAATCAATATAGTGAAAACGTGGCGCTACAGCAACAGTATAACACAAACTCTCCAAGGTTGCTCCCTCTCAGGCACAACCAATCAGTACAATAGAACACAAGACAAGAGTGGATGGTGTGGTAACCGTATAAACCTATATGTATACTTATCAGTGGAGTAATTAGCTGGTATATCCTTGTCAAACTCAAATATACATGTATGCATGTGGAAAGTAAAAATACTTAATAGCTCACATGTTAATATGCTCACTATTATGTATTTTTCCTTGGAGTGCTGAGAATAACCATTTATTAATTGAATGATTATTTAATTTGTGTCTTTTGGAAATCAAAATCTTGATAACTTTTATTTATTTATTTTTTTCTCACCTTATTGTCACTCTTTTGGACGTGACCAGAATGTTTGATGTGTATATTACAGAACCAGACATAATAACATGCCGTAATATGCCGTTGCCTGGGGTTGCTTCAAGTGCCTCGCTGTATGACTAACAATAGGGCATAAAGTCGCCTAAAAGAAATTCCCATAGTAGTTATTCTTGCTGAGCTCTCCTCTAGCTATCCTACTTAGAGCAGAAGTGACCCCCTTTTATACATCTATTTTATTTTATTGAATTACCAGCACAAATACTATGTAATTGTTTTATATAATCATTTAGAGGTTTATTAGCAGAAGCACAGATGTTTGTTCATTGTTATTTTGAATGTTTCAAATTGTGACACACATACACACAGAACATTATTGAATTATGAGTTGCCTTTTTGGAGTGGGTAATGTATATATGCACTAAACTCTTTGTTTTGATGAATGTGCTGGAAAACATGGGCCAATATTTCAGTTTTGTTACACAAAAAAAAAAAGTATTTATATCACAATTTGTATCTTTTTAGGCAGTGGTTCTTCGATTAAGGGCAGCTGGGAAACTTCGAACTGGGGAGTTAATTCAGAAGATTCAGAAGCACAAGTTGTTTTATCTCCTACGGCAATTACCAAGCCTGTTAGAAGGACTGTAGTGGACGAGTCTGAGAACTTTTTCAGTGCCTTTCTGTCCTCACCAGACGGGAACACTGTCACAGATGGTTCTGTTGTATCTAAGGCTCCCACCAAATCTCAAAGGCCCAAAGAAGAAGTAAAAAGTACTTCATCTCCATTGACACCTAATCCCAAGCAGGAAGATGAAACAACTTTACAACTACAAAAGAAAAAACTATGTATGAGTCTATCACAAGATCCTGAACTGACCAATATAACAGCAGACACATCTATACCTGACAAATCAGAGGCGACTGTAACTGAGAAATGTGATGAGCAATCTTCAAATTCTGATGGCACTTCAGAGGACCTGAAGGACCATGAAGTTCTAGAATGTAAATCTGAAAGCATATCTTCAAGCCCTTCTCCTACAGCTACTCCTGAAAATAAGGACTTATCACTAGATACTAAAGAGCAAAAGCCAGAGGATAGGCAAAGCAACACTCCTTCTCCACCTATAAGCACTTTTTCCTCAGGGACCTCCACGACTAGTGACATTGAGGTGCTGGACCATGAGAGTGTGATTAGCGAGAGTTCTGTCAGTTCAAGGCAGGAAGCTTCTGATTCCAAATCAAGCTTACATTTAATGCAGACATCATTTCAGCTTCTTTCTCCTTCTACAGAATTCAGTCGCTTAGATGAGTTTCCCAAGCTTACTGAAAGCTGCTCTTCCTCTGATGCCTTTGAGAGAATAGACTCTTTTAGTGTACAATCCATGGATAGCCGGAGTGTGAGTGAAATCAATTCTGATGATGAACTGCCTGGCAGACAGTGTACCCTGGTTTCAATTGCGGTTGGCTATTCCTCTTCAAACACAGAGGGTAACAGCTCCATGGAAAGCAATTCGGGGCAATGCCTGAATGATACCTTACTTGTGCATTCTTCGGATGATATAGAAATGGAGGAAAGTGGAAGGAGTGCAACCCCTGTCAATGCAGAGCAGCCGGATCTGGTTGTAACTCCTCATGCACCAGAAACTGATGAAGTTGACCAAAGTGTGCCTGAAAAATTGTGTGAGACTGAAGTTGAGCCAAAAGTGGAATACACTGCTGAAGATCTACAAAGGGTAATGACAGCATATCATATTCAGGAATAACATATGTCTTTTGCTAATTGTATTTCGCTTCTTATTACTTTACGTTCCAATTTACGTTTTAGATTTTATATACATTTAAATGCCAGCTTGTGTTTATTTAGATTTTATGCAGCAGTTACAATTCACACTTCATTCATATGCACTGACACTTCATAAAAAAAAAAAAATACACCTTTGTTTTCACACACATTCACATTCAATGCAAACACATCTGTGTATTGTAACTGACACATTTATATTGCATAAAAACACACGGCTTCATTGCCACGATACAAACTCCCAAAACTAATGCGCTTCGGTTCTTACACAGACTTTCACCATTCGCAGAAATACATCTGATTTATTTGCAGAAACACAATTGTATTCACATAGAACCAATCTCTGTGCTCATACACACCCCTATATTGGCACAAAACTGATTTCGTCTCTCACATTCTTTTCTGCTTTCGCACTCAATGATACATTACTGGTGTCTTACTGCACACCCACATAAATTGTTGGACTGCCATTGCAATAACATTTTGCTTGGCAGTGGGTACCATTTCATAATTGCACGGAGGAATAAAAATACAAAAATCACTATTCATATCCTTAGTTGCAAAACCTCATATGCCCCTAAAAACATGTATATTCAACAATATAAGGATGCACACTAATATACCAGCAGGTAAAATTTGCTTACAAATCCTTTATTAAATATACCAAACAAATATAACATATGACACCCTTGATAAAGGCAGCAGAAGTGTTGGTGGGATTGGTGACTTGTGTTTTGTCCCATTAGGCTTGATTGCTGGTGGTAATTATACTTGTATATGTGGCTTTTTTTGGTCGCTTAATTTATTGTATGTCTGTTATTGTATTTTTGTTTGGTATATTTATTAAAGGAATTGTAAGCAAATTTTACTTACTGGTATATTGGTGTGCATCCTTATATTGTTGAATATATAAGCAAGTAGGGTACGCACATTTCTTAATTTCTTCTTCTGACGAATCTGCTGTGATGTTACCTGTTTAGAAGAAAGTTGAGAAACACGCTCTTTGAGCATACCATGCCAACTAGATTTGGTGCTGGCCAAATTCATTAACTTATGTCAGAGCTAATAAACTCCAGGTATAGGTCTTTCACAAATTAAGTGTAAGCCAAATGATTTCTTCAGGAGGACAACAAACTAGATTAGAATTAAATGGCAGTTATAGTGTATAGCTTGTTTTCACTGTTTCTTTCAAAAGACAAAGCTTTTTTCTGGTCAACTATCTACATGATGATTGGATTAATGCATAACAAGTGTTAGGTCATAGTTATTTGTTTTATTCTGTTCTGTTACAAGATGATCGAAGAACTTACTGCCAGACTGGAGAAAAGGGAAACACAGCTGCTATCAGTGAGCAAGGAAAAGGCCTTTCTAGAGGAAGCCTACGATAACCTGAAAGAGTGAGTTCCTATACTAACCTAGCAAATTTTGAATGATATTGTCGTAGATATTTTTATAAAGTACATGTAACAGTCCTTTGGGCTGAAAGGACTTAAGTTTAACCTTTAGTCCATCAAGATTACCACAGTTTAACTTTTCTGCAGTGCTCGTCAAATCCCAGGTTGCCATGGCAACTAGGCATTATGTCCTGGCTCCTCGGTGTTTCCCAGCCCTTTCAGCACTGGCCACCATAGAACCCCACAACCACTTCACCTCACATCACAACCACTTCAGCTCACACCATACCAATTGACATCAGGGACTGCTAGCAGTGATAGGCTGTGAACACTCAGCTGACATTCTCAGGCTATCACTGCCTGCTACACGTCGTATGTGTGAGGAATAATACAACTTTGCCTTTTCCATTTAGTAATTGGTAATTAAACTGTTTGACAGCAGAGGTGGGCGACTGTGTGGAGTGGAAACGGGCGGCGAGGGTGCTGTAATCTTCCTGCTCTTTTTCATTGTGCTCCCTGTCGTGAAGCCAGAATATGACGTCTCGGCCCAGCATCACAAAACAGCAAGCGAGGGAGCAGAGCAAGAAGAGCTTAAAGATTACAGGATCACAGCAGCTACACTGGACCCCAAAGAATGGGTCCATTACAGGTCTCCCAAAAGCAGGGAGTCATGGTGGACGTAAATTTAGATGATAAAAATAATAATTTGTGTGTGAGAGAATGTGAATTTGTGTTTCTGTTTAGGTGACCGACCCCTTCTAATCGCATGGGGAAGATATTTTTACTCACCTTTATCCCTGCACCATGCAGGTCTCGCTGCGACCAGCCCCGCCTCCATTGCTGAGGTGATCAATCTTGATGAGCTCAGGCAGTCCAATATTGGGAGGCTAAATGCATGGCAAAACACTGCGCCAATCAGCAGCTCCTCAGAGAGATGCATTGACTTAATGCATCTCAATGGGGAACATTCAGCGCCTCCATGCAGAGCTTCTAAGATTATTAAAAAAAAAACTGGCTCCTATCTTTTTTTAGCTGGCTCCTAGATTTGTCAAGCCCTGCCGAATGACGGGCCGTTCGTGTGTTTTGATCGGTACTTTCTGAAGTCCTGGAGGTCTTAGCGGTGTTCGGTTAGTCGAGTGTCCGATTTGAGTTCCAGACACTCGACGACCAAACACCGCTGTTCGGGAGTTTAAGATGGCCGCCTCCACGTGTTCGGCTGCCGAAATGGCGGCCACCTAGGGAATACAGCAGAGCGATCGTTTGTTTAAACCATGGGGAATGTAACAAGCATACAGGAAGGTAAATTACGGCCACACTTCACACCAGGGTGGTCCGGTTGTTCGGCACTTTAGTTCGTATGGTGAATACAGCGGTTCACATGCAGACTTGTATATCTTTCCACCGAACACCTTGATGAATCCTAGCATGGACACATAAGGTTGTATGCAAATCTTTATAGTCCAGGCACAGGAAAACTCTTAGGTTCCAACAATATTATTATACAGGGAATGTATTGGACAGCCAAAGCGGTTCTGCTACAATATTTAAGAATAAAAATTTACAATGATGTAATATTAAGAAATATGAGGCAAATGGAAATTTGGTTGTAGATATTAGGGAAAGGAAATAGAGAAAGCAAGGTTATACTTGAAAACGAGAGAAATATCCATGTATCCATCCTGGTAAAATATTTTATAAATAAATCAAGGAATGATGTAGTGGTTATGGTGCATGGAGAGCCCTGGAGAGGCTCCAATGTAACTAACTTTGGTCTACCGAGTAACGTTCCCTGAATCCTCACAGCAGGAAGATCTCTTTATTGAGGTAAGCCCAGGAGAGCTAACGGACGTTCCTAGCAGGAGTAGGCAGGTAGCGACCCCAGGCAAGAAGTCAAACTGCTAGCAAACAGTTTAACTGTTTATGCCACTACACTCCTGGTACCATAAGCACTTCACAGCGCCATTTACTCTTATTTTATTATTGTGAGATTAATATTCCTCTTTCTGAAATAATTGGCCATGCTATTTAATGTGACCTTTACTTTTTATAGTTCTTATTCAAGTTTTGTAATTTTTTTTAGCAAAACAAACATGTTGCTATTTATTGCATTATGAAGAACTGGCAGAAAACCCATACTACAGCTGCATTACTTGTGTTTGTTTTTTTGTTTTTTTCTATCAAGGTCAGCAAACCTACGACATTCTTCAGAAGTACGTTTTTCATCATGCAGGAAAAAGTTTTGTTTTTTTTCTCTGATAAGCAATAACCGCACACTTGCTGAAAATGCAAGAAAAAAGGCACATTAAATGATGGGAAGTTATTTATCAATGAGGAATATATGTTAATCCCTCTTTAATAAAACCTATAGGATTTTCAGAAACGGATAGATAAGGAAAAGGCCTTGTGATGTGGATGCAGATTTCCTTATAAGCAACTCTTTTGCTGCATACATTTCTCCTATTTGAAAGGTCTATAACATTAATATTGTAATTTATATAGTACCAACATATTCAGTGCCTTACAATTTTAATGTGGAGATAGCAAATAAGACACGCTATTACAAATTTTAAAAAGAAACACTATAGGCACCAGCTGATTGTAGTGGTTACGGTGCCTGGAGCCAGATCCCGCATCACTGTCAAACAGTTTACTTACCAATTACTAAATGTAAAAGGCAGAGTTGTATTATTAGTCACACCATATCACGTGTAGCAGGCAGTGATAGTCTGAGAATGTCAGCTGAGTGTTCACAGCCTATGACTGCCAGCATTCCCTGATGTCAATTGGTATGGTGTGAGCTGAATTGGTTGTGGTGCCTACAGTGTCCCTTTAACAGGACCAACGGGTTAATGAGGACCTGCTCAAATGAGCTTTCAATCTAGTGGAAGTGAGATATAAGAGGAGGAACATAGAAAGATCAACATGTTAGTGTGTGGGAAAGTAATACACTAGTACGAGGAAAGAGTGGAGTAGACTTTGGAACCACTAATGGCCTCGACTTAATATTTTTGGATATGCTTTTCAAATAATTTCATATTTTTGGATTCACTTTTTAAAACATGTTTTTTTACTCAAAATCCTAAAATATCAAAAATATATCATATATAACAAACTTATACCAACATATAACAATAATAAATTATTTTAAAAGTATGAAATAATTTTAAATCTTTCTAAAAATATTATATTTCACGTGATTATATTTCATTTCAAAACCATTGCCGCGCATGTGCATTTGGTCTCCCCCCGGCGCCGAGGGACATCGGCGCTGGATTCAGGTAAGTCACTGAATGGATTTTAACCCCTTCAGCAACATGGGATGGGAGGGAGGGAGGGAGAGAATTTGTTTTCCTGGCACTGGAGAGTCCCTTTATAGTATTGAAGACTAGGTGAAAGCCTGATGGGGGCAGGCAGGTGATTATGTAGGGATGGAGCTGCCTGTGAGAAATCGTGTAAGCATGTGTTAGCAGTACAGGTGTGGAGTGTTGTGACCGGGAAAAGGTAGTGCGTATGAATAAGTTTAAGGGATACTCTGGGTACTAATACAATTTTAATGCATTCAATACATTTTGACAAATATGTATTAATTATTATTTAGCAAATATTTATTATTTGTATTGAGGAATGCTACAGTAGTGTATCTCCATGAACTATTTATTTTAGCCAGTTGTTTGACTGTGCTTTAGTTTCCATGGCATTTCACCTGTTCCTCTGCTGGTATTTTAAAATGTTTGCATTGTAGAATAAGCATGGCCTGCTTTTCTGTGTACATTAAAGTATTCTCCTAATTTGCAGTGAAATGGTAAGCGTCAAGGAAGAATGTAGTAGTGTTTCTGTGCTGAAAGACGAGTTTACACATCGTATTGCAGAAGCTGAGAAGAGAGCCCAGCTTGCGTGTAAAGAGAGAGACCTGGCAAAAAAGGTAATTCCACTGCTGTACTCTCTAGCCTTATCATATCAGAAAGAAATAAGTGTGCAAAACATACATTCATTACACAAACACACAAAGGAAGTACAATTAGTATATTGCACACTACGTAAGGTATTCAAGATTGACTATAGTTGCATCTGTAATTCTATTTCAGAACATTCAGGTTAGCCACTAAATTGTGATCTGTGCAGAATTCAGAATTCTGAATTTCAGGAAGAAAAAAAAAGCATAAATAAATGCTGGCATGTTTTCATTGGGGTATATCAACTAAACAATGGTTTTATTTATTTTTAGGGGGATTTGGGCAGTGGAGTGCTCAATTTCTTTTTATTTAATTTTTTTAAATATAGAAAAACTCTTGAACTAATTGATTGTTAAAAGAGGTTTCAATGATCCACACAGTTTTTATTAAAAAAAAAAAACTTGACCATCAACTAATGAAGGAAAAAAAAAATTAATGGTAAAAAAATGGTTATATTAACTAGAAACTATATATATATATATTTTCTTTTTTTATAAATTGGTAAGGGAATTGCAAAATCTAGATTTAGTAAATTATCCCCAATTCAACCCTTTTTTCCTGAACAGCTGCCTTGGTGTTTTGCCAATCCCTTCCTAATTCACATTAAAGGGACACCCCAGGCACCCAGACCACTTCTGCCCATTGGAGTGGTCTGGGTACCAACTCCCACTACTCTTAACCCTGCAATGTAATTATTGCAGTTTTTTATAAACTGCAATAATTACATTGCAGGGTTAACTCCACCTCTAGTGGCTGTCTACTAGGCAGCCACTAGAGGGCATTTCCTGATTCATAGCAAAGATTTTCTTTGCTAGAGCGTCGCTGGATGTCCTCACGCTGTGTGAGGACCTCCATCGTCGCTCAATTCCCCATAGGAAAGCATTGAAAATCTTTTTCAATGCTTTCCTATGGGGAGACCTAATGCACGTGCGCGGCATTAGGTTTCCTTAGCCGGCGGGCGGGATCAATCTCGCCCACCGGCTGACGTAATTACTAGGAGGAGCGACGCCGACCTGTGCTAACAGAGCCTCAAAGTTTAGATAATTAAATATATTACATTTTAGCAATCACATAAACACAGATGTCAGGTGTCACATTGTCAGGTGTCACAAGTAACAAATACAAACATTCATTTCTTGCAATTTACTTTAAACAAACTATTGGATGAGCATTCACGTAAACTGAAAGCTATCTGGCTTGTGTCAGTCACAAGCCATATAACTGCTGCAGACCTTTCAACAGCTGCAAGCAGATTATGCTGTAGTATCTGCAGGGCTGGATTGGGACAAACATTTGGCCTGGGCATTCAAAGACAAAGCAGCCCAATACATGTGTGGGGACGTGTTGTGTCTTCACCAATGACATACATTCTTTCTAAAGTGAACATGCCACTTTGGTGCCACTGCTAAAATGTCCTGTGTTTAGCACAGTGCAAGCAAATTTAATGACATGATTGTTCCATGTTTGCTGGTGACTTGTCCCTGGGGTCCCTATAGGTGGGATAACACAGGGCAAAAGAGGTACAGGATTGGGAAATGGGTGTGTGTATATGCAGGCTGCCCATGATTTTGTACGCATTTTGGAGGCTCATTCTGTGGTTGTGTGTTTGGAGGGAGGCTGCCTGTGGTGGTGTGTGTGTGTGTGGGGAAGGCTACCTGGGGTGCTATGTTGAGAGGCTGCTTGTGAGGTTTTGTGTGTGCTGTGTTGTGTTTCTGTGAATGCGTCTGTTTGTGGTGTAGAGAGAGCGTGTAATGTGTCTTTGGGTGGGGGGATAGGGAATGTCGTGTATATGTGGGGGTGATAGGGACTGTGGTATTTGAGGTGATAGAGATTGTGGTAAATGGGGAGGGGTTAGGGTAAGTATATGAAAATGCTTATTATCCCTTCCCTGTTGCTAATCTTGGGTCAGGGAGAGAGGGAATCCTGATCCATGGTTGTCCAGACAGCTCCTTCCGACCAGCACGGGGAATGTATCAGAGCAGTGCTGTGGTAACCCATGGCAACGCTAAAATATAACTGAGTATGTGCAGCTAATACATTTTCTGCCTCTTTTCCCCAAATGACTAGGAGGCAAAGACTATGAAGGAGGAATTGGCTACAAGATTACATTCTAGTGAAACTGCTGAACTAATGAGAGAAAAGGATGAACAGATTACAGGATTAATGGAGGAAGGTTTGTGACATGTTTAATTTTCAAACGTGCTGTAGGTGTGTATAGAAGTGTTCTAATTCAAAGGACCACTATAGTCAACATATAAACGCAAGAAAGACAGGTCCCCTAGCCCTCTTTCTTGCTTTTATATTGGTTTCCCTCTAATAAAAAATACATTCAAGTGCTTTTAATCATGTAAACTTACCTCCGTTCCAGCGAAGAGATCCTTGGCAGGCCACACCCACTTTAGTCAAAATGACGAAATAGCAGGGCTCAATCAGATGCTTCTCTTAGAGAAGCATCATCGGTATGTGGTGCGCACCAATCGCATTGTTCTTCATAGAGTGGCATGGAAATCAGTGCTGCTCCATGAATGAACTCGATCTACCGCGCATGTGCATGGTATGCGTGTTCACGAGCTGAGCGGTCTGATTTCTCCGCTTGCTGTCTATGCCTGCCCCCTCCTACTGCAACCCTCCTAAGCCCAAAGTTTGTGTCTTTGCATAGAAACAATATATAGAGAGAAATCTCCTGATATGTTTGTATACAAACACAAAAATTGTAAACATACACACACTCTTTCTATCTATACATCTATATCTATCCCTCTCTATTTCTCTCTATCCATTCATTCATCTATTTCTCTCTATCCATTCATTCATCTATTTCTCTCTATCCATTCATTCATCAATCTCTATCCATCCATTCATCAATATCATCAATATCCATCTCTCTATCCTCTCTGTCCATCCATCCATCCATCCATCCATCCATCCCTCCCTATCTATCTATATCCATGGATAGAGAGGGATGGATGGAGAGGGAGGGATGGATGGATCCATCCATCCCTCTCTATCACTCACACTCTCTCACTCATTTTTAAAATAAGTTTACTTACTGTTTGAAGTCAGTAGATCCTCCTGCTCGGTCTCCTGCCTTCAGCTGCCTCTCAGCTATAGCTGACACTGTGTGTTGCTGGAGATCTTCTCCCACACTGTTGCTCTAGCTGCTGAGAGGCTCCGGGTTACCACAGGACACAGGAGGCGCGTTCACAGTGCCTCCTGTGTCCTGATAGCACGTTTGATGTCTTCAGCTAAGCGTAAAGATATCAAACGTGAGTACTGTGAGTACCCATTAAGCTGAGGTTGTTCAGGTGACTGTAGTGTCCCTTTTAAGTAACTGATTACTTATTGTAAGATATTGCTTAAATTGGTAATAACTAAATATGTCAATTTCTTCTTTAACAGTCAACAGCTTTGTATTCCTTTAACTTTTTTAGTGTCCCTATTAGCTTGTGGATAAACACTTTTTTGAATTGGTACCAGGAAAGACTTTTCACTCTTTCTTATTGCCATAGGAGAAAAACTCTCCAAACAACAGCTGCACAACTCCAACATTATTAAGAAATTACGAGTAAAGGAAAAGGAGCATGACCAAACTATAACCAAACAGACAAAGAAGATCCGGGAGCAGGAGGAGGAACTGCAGCTGTTAAAGCAGGTTGGGTTTTGTTAGGACTCATTTTGTATTGTTAGTGACTTGTTCACTTTGTTACTTAAAAAAAAAGGGTAGAGTGCTATTAGATGTTTTTTAATATTTGTTCACCACACAGCTGGAAACAATTGTGCTAATTAAACTTTACCCTTGCCAATTAATCACTTAAATATTAAAAAAAGTTTTAAAATCTACATAATTACTATTAGTTGCTGTCGTTTTAGCTCCTTTGTGTTTTCAACCAGGCGTTTCCCATATTTCAAGCCTTTATTTACCTACCTTTGGTCCATTTTAAAGACATCCTTCTCATATATTTATAGCTTGTTTTCTGCATTACTCGCTTCTTTCCTGTGTCTATTTTTTTACCATTGTTTCACTTTCTGTAAATAAAAAGCTGCTGTGTATACAGAATGCTTTTTACAGATAAAATCTTGTTTTCAAATATTCCTGTTTTACAACCAAATCAGGACATGGATAAAAATATAAGCAAATGTAAACCGGAATAATATAAATCAAAGATTTTCTTTTCCTATTCATAACATAGTTCTAAATGCATATATAAACATATTATTTATATTTACAGACTTTAGATGCAAAGGAAGAGGTTGAGAAACAACACCGAGACAGCATTAAGAAACTGAACTCCGTAGTGGAAAGGCAAGAGAAGGAGCTAGCTCGTCTTCAGGCTGACATAGAGGAATATCAGGAGAAGAATCGCAGTCTTCAGTCTGCCTTGGACAACTCTTACAAGTAGGAATGAGGCTAACTGACAGTTACTATACTAATATGACATGTTGGCACTTCATTATTCAATAAGAGTTTGGGTTATACTTCTATGTTGTTAGGATAGCAGTATAAACTACTATAGGATACTTGAAATGATAGCTCATGACTATGTGCATTCTGACATTTCTGACTTTGGCATCCCATAATGCCTGATGTGCACCCATGCAATAGTCATTATACCACACTCGATAGTGTAAGAGGGATGCACTCGAATAGACCGTTTGCAACCTTCAAGTAAGTCAGAAATGTATTCTTTACATTTGTGAGTTATCTTGCAGACACAATGTATAGATTACATTTTACAATTTGACTGAAGTTTTTTTTTTCATCACTTGCCCTGAGAGTTAGATATCAGCTTAAAAGTGTTATATTTTTACATTCTATTGTTTAAATCCAGCATAGGTAACCTACAGCAGCAGTATACTTTAACCGACTCCTTATCTAGCCACTAATAGGCTGACATAACCAGATGGATACTGTAGACCAAAGGAGTGAGCATTTTTTTGTAAGGGTGGTTGGGAATTTTTAAATTTGTGCTGTATATATTCACTTAAAAGTGCAAATTACCTTTTCCACGGTGGGCAGGAAAAAAACATTTTCCAATTCTGTTGACTTCTCTCTACAATTCATGGCTTAGTAAATCACTAATTAAATATTTATGTAATTTCATTTATTTTTGTAGCCATAATGATAAACTGAACTATTTTTTATTATTTGATTCTTAAATCTCCTACTAAGGGAACTGTCACTTGGGGACCTCCAGGCACCATAACCATTTCATTGAGATGACGTTGTTATAATGTCTGGAGTGTTCAGTTATGGTCCTTTTTAATATTTTTATATTGTCTAAAATAATTAGTACACTTATTTTGGATGTGTTTTTTTAGAGAGCTTGCAGAATTGCACAAAGCAAATGCAACTAAAGCCAGTGAGGCCCAAGAAGTTGCATTAAGTTGTGAGATAAAAGCTAAGGAAGAGATGTGTTTTGCATTGGAGAAAGCCAAAGAGGAGTCACAGAAACAGCAAGAGTCTTTGGCCATCCAGGTGAGTTACGTAGAATCCTATTAAAGATAGATCTACCGAAAGCACCAAAAAAACTTTCGCTTAACGAAGTGGTGTTGGTTTATAGATCATTCCCCTCTAACTGCTCAAATCTTTGCCATACGGGAGTTAAATCACTTTGCTTCGTATCAGCATACCGGTGTACTGCATGCCATTTATTGTCTCTCTTTTTCCTTCCCCTGTGGTGTTCACCTTTTCTTTCTGATTTTGAATTGGTTAAGTATGGTTATGTGCATTTACAATCACTAACATGATGACGGTGATGATGGCGTATTTACGTAGGCCTCTAGGTAACCAATGAGTGCTACATGTGGAAGTTGCTCCATGCCATATGTTCACCACTGATTTCCTAGGATCTCAAATCCACATTTAGTGAACAAAGAAAACAAGCTAAAACATGGAAATAGAGTTAGAATGATGCCACATCCCATGCAGAATGACGCAGTAAAAAAAAGAATAAAATTCATCCTTGTCATTTGTTTTCTTTCTGAATTGAGTTGTTTCAAAATAAATGTATCTGTACATCATGAATAGCACAATTTGTATTTATAACATATGTTTTCAAACTGGTATAGAAATAATAAGTAGTTTTTTTTAGTTACACATATTTTCTTTGCGTCTTTACTTCATGTGGACCACTTCTTATTTTTCTTGTGCATGCATAAGAACAGAGAATAGGCTTCTATGCCAAATTTTGCATGATGACTGATGTCGTTGTCGTCTCTTACTACCTGCACATTTCTTTTAAATTTAGACTGCTGTGTGTGGTGTGAGAGGAAGACCGTGACGTACAAATTAAATGATTGACAGCTTACACAAAGGGGCTTTCAATCCAAATTGGTTGCTTTGCCCTTTACCTTCAATATACAAATGCCACTTTTAAAGTGGCCCATTTGGTGATCAGTATTTTTTATCCAGTGCAGTGTGTATAATTTAAAAACTGCATGTACATTCAATTTGTGTCTTCAAATTAAACTACATCAAATATTAAAAAAATTCTAGAAAAAAACAGAATGTCAGGTAGGTTTTTAAATGTTTTATGCAAATTAGCCTTCTGCTAGGTCTTTTTAAACACAGGCCATTAGAGACAACGTCTCTAATAGGCCTTTTGAAGTGTGAGGAAACCAAAATCTTTGATGTTTTAATAACTTAGAAATTCTAATTGTTCCAGCTTTGATTTTAACACAACCGATATGCTGGATAAATTGCAAGCAAAAATATTGTGTTAAAAAAAAGACAGCTTTCCATAGCAATTATTAGTATTAGTAACATTATTTCTTATTGTGTCTGTATTTTTCTTTCACTCTGAATTACCATAATTGCAATATTGTATTGATGTGTTCCTTTGTTACAATACAATGTTAGGTAGCAGATTTGAGGGTGACTCTTCAGAGAGCAGAACAACAGGCTGCAAGAAAGGAAGACTATCTACGACAAGAGATTGCTGAGCTACAGCAGGTATGTTCCTATTACATACTTTAAATCTGCACTCCAGATGTTGTGGACTACATCTCCCATGATACTCTTTAGCAAATGATCAAGGGAGATGTAGTCCACCACATCTGGAGTGCTGAAGGTTGCCTACCCCTGTCCCAACCACTGTATGGTTATACTGATTCTTAGGCTGCCAGTGTTTCTAAACATTAACAGTTAATAATTAATAAATGCAATTAACTGTGAACTGTAGTGATTTCATTAGTGAATTGCAAAATTAAAAGGGATTGGAAATCTCCCAGCCATTTTTAATAGTTTGTTTATTTATCATCTGTATATAACAAATGGATCTTAACAATAACATTAAATATGGAAATCTTCACTGCATTATTTACCTCTATCCTGGAACTGAGCACCTCCACCGTTTGCATATGTCAGTCAGCATAGAGCGAGCAATATGCCCTGGCTGTGGATTGCAATGTAATTTACTACATTTTCAATATATATTTACAAAAGTGAACATCATATGAAAAAAAGAGTAACATGAGTTTTAGATTAATTTCTTAGTTTCATAGAGTGAAACCACTCATGGTTTAGTAAATATACCAGTAAGGGTTTTGTTTTTGTTTTTTCATGAAACATGAAATCGTGTAGAATTGACAAGGGAATTGTGACCTATCCGGGTTATTCAGTGAGAATTCAAAGTGAATTTCCAATGTAAGGCCAAAGTAGCTGAACTGGAACAGAATTTGGCTATTTCGACCTATTTGACATCTCTTTGATGTCAAATAGGTCGAAATAACTAAATTGGAAACATTCTCCAACTCCTACCTATTTTTACAGCTATTTTTCTCTAAAATGTGAAATTCTCTTGTCCTTTATCCACATTTCCTAGTTTGGTGAATAAATGACTAAACCAAATTTAAAAATATCACAGTTGAGGACATTCACAACGGAGATAGGCAGGCAGCTAGTTGTAATGATTGTGTGAAAAAAAAAAAAATCTGAACAAATTTGAGCATCCTAAAAATATAAATCTGTCTTTTTATAACATAAGAGAAAATGAGAGGTGCTCTTAACCTCCAAAGCCAGTAGAGCTAGCCTATCAAGGTTATTTACTAAACTAAGGATTCAAAGTGAGTTCCAAATTTAAGGTCAATATAGCCAAACTGGAAAATTTATCTAAATCATCTCTTCTTTCAATTCAGATACTCTAGCCTTAAATATGAAATGTACTTTGAATTATCTCTTTAATAAATAACCCTGTATGTGTTTTAGGGGTGTAGCATGTTCCTTTATTCTTTTATATTGGTAAATATAAACTGCAATGTTTGACCAGCTGTTTTTTAATATATTTAGAAAATTTGCATCTCTGGAATATTACATTGGCTTATAGCTGTCTTATTGTTTGCTAAGTTAGGAAGCCTAGTTCATATTTTGTGGAATAAAATTAACAGAAGAGCCAAACAATTTTACCTTTCAATGCTGCAGAGACTCCAGGAAGGTGAGACACGGAACCAGGAGCTCAGCCAGAGTGTCACATCCACCACCAGGCCACTACTTCGACAGATTGAAAATCTGCAAGCCACGTTGGCTGCCCAGACATCCTCATGGGAGAAACTGGAGAAGAGTTTATCCGATAGACTCAGTAAGAAACACTAGATCAATACTTTATATCTGTTTTTTATCCCAGCAAAACATGGACTTATTTCACTGTATTTCCAAACTCCTAATGCTTTAAAATGTATTGTGAGATTTAAAAAAAAAAAGTTTTTTTGTCTGTGCTACACTATATCTGCTCCAGATCCAATCAAGGTCCCCTTATGTCCTTCACAGCTATTTTTCATTTATAAAAACTAAAAATTAATGTAAAAAAAACAACCACCAACCAACACTTGGCATAACTGTTACTTCTGAGAATCAAATGTGAAAAGACGCTCCAAAAAGTGAAAAATAAAATTCTGATAGCTGCAAAAAAATCCCAAGCACTGAGATTTTTCAACATAGCAATACTATGTATTGGTTATAACTGTTACTTCATCTACACGTTGCACCTAACTTGTGGTTGCTTGCAGGGCTCCTTAAAATCTTGTTCTTTTGAATAGAGGTTGAAGAAGGACATTTGCCCACACGTTAGTATATATGTAAGCTGTACCATAGTTATACAGGGGTTGGCACACTTATAGGCACTAACTTTTTTTTTTTCTTTTTTTCATTATCTACTTTATAACTTATGTAATTTTATAAATTGTTCAGAGGTAATTTTAAGTCATTCCAGAGCCCTCAAGTGTGAAATAATACATAGTTTACAGCATATTCTTTGGCACCCTTTTCTCAACTGCCCTTTATTCATCTTAAGTAGCAAGACTTTCCAGGATTCTCTGCTGCATCCTGTTGGCACTGTTTCCTCCATGCAGTGATATGACCACAGTTACTTGCTCTACAATTCTATCTATGCTCCTTGCATTATAGTGTAAGGAGCTCTTTCCTTTGTTTTCCTTCAAATTGCTCATTATCGTTGCAGCCAGTAAGTCTTAACATAGTGGTACAGGCTCTCTCATAAAATTCTATAAGAGAATTGTGACAGCAGTAATGCACTTGCATGACGGTGAAAAGCTTAATTCATAAACAAAAAAAAAGTGGATGTGATGTTCTATGGTAAACTAATATAAGCCGTGCGGCAGCTTCTCTTAGTTTGTACAGAAGTTCTGTTCATGCCTTTTCACAAATAAAACTGCATAGCACTACATGGAAACTACATATTACTAGAATTGACCGATACATCGTTTAGTTCTATACATTTTAATATATCATGGAGTCCTCTTGAAATGTATAATTATACTTCACAACCACCATAGGCTCTTGTCTCTATCCCCAAAGCATATGTGATGTTCTTGTCATCCCTTGGTCATTCTAAAGATGTTCTAAAGTGTTGTCATATGTTTGTTTGCACTTTCAAATAGCTGAATCTCAAACGTGGTTGGCATCTGCAGTTGAAAAAGAGCGAGCGTGTACAGAGGAACTGCTCTCCATCAAGACTCAGATATCGGCCATTGAGTCTCAGAACAGTCTGCTGAGACAGGAGAAAAGCAGATTTCAAGCTCAGTTGGAAGTGGAGAAAGCACGGTTATCGAGGATGGAAGAAGAGCATGGCAGGTTTGTGGTTTCTTATTAGTTACTTTATAAACAACAGCCAGGATTATTTTATATAACATAGACTTGTCATATTTGGTTAGTCCAAATCAGATGGCATGCCAAATATGTCTTTAACTTAATTGGCAATTCAAGTGTGCGCCCAAACGACCTGTTTACTTGGTCTATCTTTAATTCAGATGGTAAATTGAGTGGAAGGTAGGGTGTGTTCCCTCATTGTGTTTGATTCATGTACTGAGTTTGATGGACATGTTTTCTATTAGTGAATACACAAACAAATAATTTTCATATTTGCTGTGTTGGGTGGGAGCTGTGTTTCCTTTATTTCCCAAAGTGTGTCTCCGATCTAGCTTTTTATTTAGCTTCCAGTTTGTTTGACAGCCAGGATAGCCCTTTATGCAATTTGCATGATTCAGCTACTGATTTTAGTGATCGCACTTAAGAGAAGAAGCATATTGAAAATGGTCCATTTATTTCCAACCATAATCTTGGGAGTGATTTGTGAATATGTGGAACCGCAGGATGCAACCTTGGTTCATGCCAGAGCTGAGGGTAGTTGGAGAGACTGTAGCAAGTATTCCGAATTGTGAAACATGTTTTGCCATTTCTCTAAAGGCTAAAATTAGATTGAATTATGTTTGCAATACCCTTTACGTGGCATTTACATTCAAATTTACATCTCCCTTTTTTTTTTTTTTTACCTTGTGTTTATAGTGGCAGTTAGCTCTTGGGTATCTCCTAATTGATTCCCAATGGCTACCCACAACTTTCTCTCCAAAAATGAATTCAGAATTGCCCGTTCACTTCCACATTTAAGTTTAGCCTTATCGATTACACCACCTTTTCGTTATATAATTACCCGCATTCTGAAAGTCCTGGTTTATTAGCCAACTTGCTGTCTCTTACGTGTAATCTGTTCTAATGATAAGACAGTCAACACGATTGCCTTGTTTACTATAGTAAAACTAGCACATGTGAAATCCAGTAATAAGCCTTGTTTCTGTTTATTTAAGGAACCAGGTGGAATTGGAAAATCTAAAGAGCGAGTACAGGAGAACAGTCGAAGATGCAAGAAAAGAAAAGGTTTGATATATATAACTTATTTAGTGTTTAATTATATGAACAGATTTGCAGTGTGGATATGTGGTGTTATGTCTTTACATTAAATCAGCAGTGTTAAGGGACATTTGACCGATTCCGTTAGAACTACAGGCTGCCCACAACTTGAACTCTTCGTCAATCCACTTCCCATTAACAAGTATAATAATGTCAACTTTGTTTAAAGAAAACTATGTAATTGCTGCTAAACTAGTGGGTGATGCAGGTTAGGCTTCTTAAGTTAACAGGAATTCTAACCACCTCAATGCTTACTAATAGGGCATATACAGTGTTCTGTCATGGTTATGGTGCCAGGAGTACCCTGGTGCATTCCCACATTACAAAGTCAAATTAGAGTCAAGAATTACTTTTCTTCTAGTCTTGAAGTAGAAGTTCCCACACTGCTTTAACAAAACCAATGTTGTCCATATCTGAATTTTCTTGATTGGAAGAAGGTATCTGCGCAGACTCTCAGAAGTACGGCAGGTGCCTGAAGGGCCTAGGTACATCATGCCACCATAACCACAACAGTTCACATCAGGGATATGTCAAGATTGCAGTCATTGGGCCAAAGACTTGAGGATCAGTTCATAAAAAGGAGTTGTGGCCAAAGGACTGTTGTAGAAATCCCATGATAATTTGCCAACCTCGTGATAAAACCGCGAATTGCTGCTCACTTCCAAAATTTGGTGGCTTTGCTATCAACTTCCCACAACACACTGTGAATACTCACCTTGTCCTAGATAAAGGAGATGCACAGCAAGTAGATTTCTAGCTGGTCTGTAGGTTGGATATCACTATGAGCAATTGTTTATCATGTTGGGTTCCTTACTTTACCATTGTACACTTCCATCTCCAGAATCTCCTGAACAGCCAATTGGAGATGGAGAAGATGAAGGTGGAACAGGAAAAGAAGAAGGCTTTGCTTGCGGTGGAAGCTGCTAAAGAGAAGGTATTACAAGTATTAATTTGTTTTTGACGTGGTTTGTTTATTTTAACAATAAAACTTCATAATAACCCATTAATGCACATTTTTTATATACAATCTTTTGGGACAAGTTTGCCCTATTTGTGGACTAATTGCAGTGCAATAACTGTTTTTTAGATTTTGCTCGTATGCAATTTGCGCTTTGTGAAATAATTGTGCTTTAATTTCAGAGAGGTAAAATCACTAAATTGTAACAGGGTTATTTCTCTAATGAGAAAAGTGCTGGGAATTCAAAGTGAATTTCAGATTTAAGACCAAAATAGTCAAACTGAAAACAGAATTCACTTTTGTAATTCTAATATTGCTATTTTGTCCAAAATGTTGAACTTCACCTTGAATTCCCTACAATTCTCACTTTAGTGAATAATCCTGTGGTTTTTGTTTTTGTTTATATAATATTACATATGTAATATTAATATAATACAGGGAGTGCAGAATTATTAGGCAAGTTGTATTTTTGAGGATTAATTTTATTATTGAACAACAACCATGTTCTCAATGAACCCAAAAAACTCATTAATATCAAAGCTGAATATTTTTGGAAGTAGTTTTTAGTTTGTTTTTAGTTTTAGCTATGTTAGGGGGATATCTGTGTGTGCAGGTGACTATTACTGTGCATAATTATTAGGCAACTTAACAAAAAACAAATATATACCCATTTCAATTATTTATTATTACCAGTGAAACCAATATAACATCTCAACATTCACAAATATACATTTCTGACATTCAAAAACAAAACAAAAACAAATCAGTGACCAATATAGCCACCTTTCTTTGCAAGGACACTCAAAAGCCTGCCATCCATGGATTCTGTCAGTGTTTTGATCTGTTCACCATCAACATTGTGTGCAGCAGCAACCACAGCCTCCCAGACACTGTTCAGAGAGGTGTACTGTTTTCCCTCCTTGTAAATCTCACATTTGATGATGGACCACAGGTTCTCAATGGGGTTCAGATCAGGTGAACAAGGAGGCCATGTCATTAGATTTTCTTCTTTTATACCCTTTCTTGCCAGCCACGCTGTGGAGTACTTGGACGCGTGTGATGGAGCATTGTCCTGCATGAAAATCATGTTTTTCTTGAAGGATGCAGACTTCTTCCTGTACCACTGCTTGAAGAAGGTGTCTTCCAGGAACTGGCAGTAGGACTGGAAGTTGAGCTTGACTCCATCCTCAACCCGAAAAGGCCCCACAAGCTCACCTTTGATGATACCAGCCCAAACCAGTACTCCACCTCCACCTTGCTGGCATCTGAGTCGGACTGGAGCTCTCTGCCCTTTACCAATCCAGCCACGGGCCCATCCATCTGGCCCATCAAGACTCACTCTCATTTCATCAGTCCATAAAACCTTAGAAAAATCAGTCTTGAGATATTTCTTGGCCCAGTCTTGACGTTTCAGCTTGTGTGTCTTGTTCAGTGGTGGTCTTCTTTCAGCCTTTCTTACCTTGGCCATGTCTCTGAGTATTGCACACCTTGTGCTTTTGGGCACTCCAGTGATGTTGCAGCTCTGAAATATGGCCAAACTGGTGGCAAGTGGCATCGTGGCAGCTGCACGCTTGACTTTTCTCAGTTCATGGGCAGTTATTTTGCGCATTGGTTTTTCCACACACTTCTTGCGACCCTGTTGACTATTTTGAATGAAACGCTTGATTGTTCGATGATCACGCTTCAGAAGCTTTGCAATTTTAAGAGTGCTGCATCCCTCTGCAAGATATCTCACTATTTTTGACTTTTCTGAGCCTGTCAAGTCTTCTTTTGACCCATTTTGCCAAAGGAAAGGAAGTTGCCTAATAATTATGCACACCTGATATAGGGTGTTGATGTCATTAGACCACACCCTTCTCATTACAGAGATGCACATCACCTAATATGCTTAATTGGTAGTAGGCTTTCGAGCCTATACAGCTTGGAGTAAGACAACATGCATAAAGAGGATGATGTGGTCAAAATACTCATTTGCCTAATAATTCTGCACTCCCTGTATTGTAGTATTAATTTTGAAAGTGGTGTATAATATATGTTGATGTTTAATTTCTTCAAGGAGCGCAAGTCATATGGACTTCCATCAATGGAGACTGGAACCACTACCCCAACATTGTCACGATCTAGTTCTATTAGTGGGCCAGACTTTTCAGGCCTTCAGACATCACTCATCTCACAGGTAAATATGTTTATCTATTTTACTTAACAAGTGCCTCTGTTTGTCAGTATACGTATTGTCTGTTTTAAAATATATATATGATCTAATTACAGTATAACATTTTTGTATGTACAGTAATATACTAGGTGTCAGGCTACATATTTCACAGTTGGTTTGTCTACGCCTAATATATCTAACATTCAAGCAGTAGTCACTAACGAGGCTACCAGGGTACATAACCTGAACATAATCCCAATTATTGATTAGTTTGAGAAATATTACAACTAATATACCTAGTAGATTTATGGTAATGAAACCAACCACCGTGCTTCAATTTCAATATTACATTTATAAATAAACATACAGAAGTTCAGACATCTGTGAGAGACTTGCATATTTTGACTTGTAATTGTGTATTATAAAGTGGACTCTAACCTGCCATTTGTTTATCCTAATAATCTATGGATCACTGACCAGGATATGAATTCCAACTGGATTATGATAGGCTGAAAGCAGCTTTGGTTTCCAATTGAGATAGATAGATATGTATTTATCAATCTCAGTTGGAAACCAAAAGCTGTATACTAATGATGAATATATTTTTTTTCTTTAAAATATATTGTTTGCATAGCAGGAAAATCCCATAACTTTCTCAATTTGCAGTTTCAGATAAGAGTAGTTAATATTACCTACCATTTAACGTTTGTTTGGACGACCCTGACTGTTGCAAAGTGAATATAGAGTGGCCTCTATGATTAATTCAGAGTATAGAAATCAATGATTTGTAAATTACCCTCGTATGTGTCCTGAAATACTGAAAACAAAAAAACCTCAAAATATAATTATCACTTTCTCTTTGAAAAGTTGGAACATAATAATGGTTTCAACTTTATTTTTCTTGTTTGAAATACAGGATGATCCTTACGAGCATTCATACGGCTCCATGTCTATGTCCGTTAGTGGAAGCAATCTTTACGACGCAGTGAGGATGGGTGCTGGTTCTAGTGTCATTGAGAACTTACAGTCTCAGTTAAAATTAAGAGAGGGGGAGATTGCACAGTTGCAGGTACAACACCTTTTTCCCAGTTACTTTATTTTTTTAATCACTCTACTAATACCTCGTCAGCATTTGGCAACCGTATGAAGACACCTGTAGTGTTATCTACCAGGAGCTGAGTTATGGAAGTGGAAGACACCAAGAAGAGCTTTGGAACATGTTCATTGTGTTTCCACTTCTCCCAACTGCATATAGACCAGGCTCTCTACTGATGTGTGAGAGCCAAAAATCTGTGTCAATTTCAAGAATGGTTTTATGATTATTGTTATTATTATGAGTTATATTTTTGTAAATTTTTGGGTGATTTTTACTTAATTTCAGGTTACACTTTTGTAAATCCCATATATCCCTGATTTAGCTAACAAATATTTTTTTACAGCTTGAGATTGTGAACCTGGAAAAGACACGCTCTATATTAGCAGAGGAAGTGGTTAAATTAAACAATATCAACGATGAACTTGATGAAAAAGTGAAGGAGATCCCTAAACTGCAAGCACAGATGAAGGTTGGTGTCTTTTTACATTTTTATTTATTTATTATCTCTTTCCCTTGTCACTTGTCTTCCTGCTATTTCTAATACTTCCGCTGTCACCATGCTCGTCCGGCCCCTGTTATTTTACATAATTGTGGATGTCTGTGCCTATAATTACATTTAGTCCTGTTACAAATGATCACTTAAAGGAACACTATAGTCACCTAAATTACTTTAGCTAAATAAAGCAGTTTTAGTGTATAGATCATTCCCCTGCAATTTCACTGCTCAATTCACTGTCATTTAGGAGTTAAAACACTGTTTCTTTTTATGCAGCCCTAGCCACGCCTCCCCTGGCTATGATTGACAGAGCCTGCATGAAAAAAACTGGTTTCACTTTCAAACAAATGTAATTTACCTTAAATAATTGTATCTCAATCTCTAAATTGAACTTTAATCACATACAGGAGGCTCTTGCAGGGTCTAGCAAGCTATTAACATAGCAGGGGATAAGAAAATCTTAATTAAACAGAACTTGCAATAAAGAAAGCCTAAATAGGGCTCTCTTTACAGGAAGTGTTTATGGAAAGGCTGTGCAAGTCACATGCAGGGAGGTGTGACTAGGGTTCATAAACAAAGGGATTTAACTTATAAATGGCAGAGGATTGAGCAGTGAGGCTGCAGGGGCATGTTCTATACACCAAAACTGCTTCATTACGCTAAAGTTGCTCAGGTGACTATAGTGTTCCTTTAAGTTGGCAAGCCAATCGGGAGTATTTACTAAAGTCACAGAAGTTAAAGGGAAACTTCATGCTGCAGTTGACCCCGTTTTTAAAATACTTTAAAAAATTAAGATCCTGCATTTGCTGCAATCCATGGTTTGCAGCTTCTACAGAAATCTTTCACCAAACCAGCACATGGCTAAGTTGATCCTGCCAATCTTATTATTTTCAAATTGCACTGAGCATATCACATAAAACCTTCTGCAGTAGTTCAGTACTTGACACCAATTTAATTTATTCAATTTAATGTAACTTCTGCCAAAGCTGATGCCAGCTGTAGTCTTCAGTATGTACTGCAGTACTGGAATACTTCCAGTAGATGGAGCATAGGACACAGTAATGCAACGTGAGATGTTGGCTGCAGTTTCAACAATCACTGACATTTTTTGTATGTTATTTTAGCACTTTTAAATCCACTGCTAGTCGTCATGGCACATTCATTGGCTCATCCTTTTACATGCCCCACCATCTTTTTACTGTAATATGTGCTTTTAATGTGATAATTTAACACTGCCAACATTTATTTATGTGAGTTCTGTTAAGGTATAGGCCATGGTTCTCCGTACAATGTATGTGAATCTCACTCTTTGTGTTTTATAGGATCTAGACCAGCGATATAACACCATTCTGCAGATGTACGGAGAAAAAGCGGAAGAAGCAGAGGAGCTCAAACTGGATCTGGAAGATGTGAAAAATATGTATAAGACTCAGATTGACGAACTTCTAAAACAAAGACAAAATTAGTTTCTGTTATAGTTAGAAAGGAGAGAAAATGTTTATGGAATTTATTCACTAAATGGTGTCTTGTGATGTGTTGATAAGAGTTGCAATACGAAGGCCAAAATAACAAGAGTTTGACATTTTATTAACTCTAGTATTTAGACCTTATTCTTGTAACTTTGTTGTAAGCCAACCATAACTCACTATTTAGTGAATAAACCCCTAGAGATTAACCCTTCAAGTGCTAAAACAGTTCTTGGCAAATTTTGGTTGTACATTTGTTGTTGCACTACAACCCCTATGATCCTCAGTTAGGATTGCTGCTGGCTGACAATCATGGGGGATGCTGTTACCCACCTCTGAAATGGAATTGAGCACAACATCGCTTTGCAATGAACTGAACAAATCGCTGGCATGCCAAAAGGTTAACCATTTTAATGACAAACTTGTTTAATATGTAAATGTAAAAACTATCTTGTATAAAAAAATAGTGTACATTTTTAATTATTATTTACTAGCCTTTATGTTTGAAAACAAAATCACATTTATCTGTAATTTGTCCAGTCATAGCTGTAATTAAATTATTTGTTTAATATTTAAATAATCTTGTTTTTGCATTTTTAGATTAATAGTTTGCTGAAAGGGATTCTCTAAGCATCATACATATTGAAGCATTCTACTGCAGTGTGGTGAAGTGGTTTTGATGCTTAGTGTCTCTTTAAAATTAAATGGTTTGATTCTGATCAAATATTAAAGCTGCACTGTCACTGTCTGGGGATTTTTCAGAATTTGCATGGTGATATCGCCACTGGGAGTCCGGTGGGGGTGGGGGGTAAAGCAAAGGTGAGTTCTACTTACCTAAAGCTATCCCTCGTGGGCACCACCATCTACTCCAGCTGGGTCCTCTTTAGAAGCGCCAGGAGGCAGCGTCACTGCTGAACACTCGTGCATGCTTGAGAGTACAGCATTGAGGTTTGTCACTGGTGACAACAGGGAGATTGACACTTCTAGTAGCACCTGTTGCCTAGTAGTGTCAGGTTCAGGAAATATATAGAGACCAAGTACCTCCCTACTTTGTCTCAGTATATCTCTTGACTGGGATACAATTTCAGTGAAATTAAAACACAAAGAATTGAGAAATTAGTATTTCATAAAGAATCTATCTTTACGAAATTCATATTTTTTTCAGGGGGTACGATAGTGCTGCTTTAGAGCCAGATTAAGTGGTAAAACAATTGCTTAAAAGGTCAATCCAAAAAGCTAAACTTGTTAGCTGCAATGTGTCGCTTAGACAGCTGTTAGTTGCTCTGGGTGTTTTATTCTTTTTAATAATCTACTTTACCTTTTAGTTAATTGGTTTTCTGCCTCTCCCAAACTGCAGTTTTTCATTTTTTTGCTGTAAATCCTGTCATGATGTTTAAAACAGAATCATGACTATTTAATTAATACACTCATAGGTGCCCCAAAAACTCAGCAGTGCTATAGAAAGTTATGTGAGCATCTAATTTTTGGCAAAATCACTCTTTGGTTTGGTGACTGCTCATTGCAGAAGCTACTTATCCTGGTAATTTGCAACTATGGGAACTCGTATGTAGAGAGAGAGATAGATACATTAAGAAAAAATGAGTAAGCATCAGCTTGGAGTGTCCCTTTAAAGGTTTAATGAATGAATAAACCTGTCAGTTCTTCCTGTGATCCCCTTAAACTGCATAAACAGAAACCTGAAAAATGGTTGGTTTTGAGAATTGTAATAAAAAATCAGGGGTTATGTTATCCTGAAACTTATGACATTGCACCAGTGCTTGCATTCTGATATAGCAGAACACATTTAATTTAAATGTGTTTGTGCTAATGAAGCATCTATGTAGCACGATTACTGCACATACATATTCCAGATCTCATCCTTCACAGATAGGATGCTCCTGTACAAGCATGTGGAGTAAGATCTCCCCATGTGTAATAACTCTCAGTACATAAGGGCACAAGATTGATTCTCCATCCACATGGCCTGTAACAACAACAAATTGTTTTGTTTTTTTTGTAGCCAAAAAAAACTTTATGGATTTCAAGCAAAATAGTCCTTACTTGACTAGTTTATTAGAATAAGAGTTGGTTAAGCTGCAGTAACATTTTGTCACTTTAAACTTCTTGAGTGCAGAATTATCTAATTTGTTGAAACAGTTGCCTCACCCCTGCAATATGAGAGCTGCTCACAACTGTATGCTAGTTAGGGCCACTTGGGAAGAATTTTCATAGGGCTTTATTTACTAAACAGCAAGTTGAGATCAGTCACAAAGTAACTTTCATCAGTTTATACCAAAATAACAGTATCGGGCAATAAACCTTTTTTTCTTTCTTAATATTTGAGAGGGTGAGGAAGGATTAACCCTCTATAGCCACGTGAGTACTATTTTAGAATGAATACGGTCTTGACATGTTCCTTATGTTAGGCTACTTGTTAAAAGTTGTGAAACATAATATATTTCCTAATATGCAGCACAAAATTTGTTTGCTTGTAGCCCAAGTGAATATTAAAGTAACACTATAGGGTCAGGAACACAAACATATTCCTGGTCCTATAGTGTTAAAAACAACATTTAGCACCCCTGGTCTTCGCTTGCCACCCTAAATATAGTAAAATCTTACTTTTATTCCAGTCGGCTGCTGCTGCTGGCTCTGCCCCTGGTCTGCCTGCTTGACTGACATCAGCAGTGTTCATAAAGCTGATCACAATGCTTCCCCTTTGGATTGGCTGAGTCTGTCAAGTAGGCAGATCAGGAGCAGAGCTAGCACAAGTCAAACACAGCCCTGGCCAATCCGCATCTCCAAATAGAGATGCATTGAATCAATGCATCTCTATGAGGAAAGTTCAGTGTCTCCATGCAGAGGGTGGAGACACTGAATGGCACATTGTGCAGCACTGCCCCAGGAAGCACCTCTTGTAGCCACCTGAGGAGTGGCCAGTTGCGTTATCCCTAGGCTGTAATATGAACACTGCAGTTTCTCTGAAAATACAGTGTTTACTGCGAAAAGCCTGTACAATATGCTGTAGTTGTTCTGGTGACTATTGTGTCCCTTTAAGCTACACAGTTAAAAAAAACTGATTAGTTTTGAGGAATATCCAATACAACATTTTTACCTGCCTTACTGGACTGAGTCTTTGATTTTTTTCTTTTCTTTTTTTTTTTTGTGGGGAAGACTTATGAATTATCCAAACATTTGGCGTCTCTGTGCTGCAGGAATAGTGAAACCCATGGCACTTAGTTGAAATTGATTATAAAAACATAATTAAAGAAATACAAAATTTTATTTTATTATTTTTTATTTAAAGTTACAAGTCTGCTTTAATAGTAATTTCATTCTGCCGGACAGGTACTAACTGCTTTGTAAAATAAACTGTCATTTTCACAAAATTGCAATTTTATATAACTATATATAGTGTTTGTTAATGAATCAAAATGAAAGAATCATGTTTAAAAGTGTAAAAATCTCTCTTAAAAATATTGTACCTCCATGTTTTATGATGTTTTATTGTATATTTCATACATATGACTGTATTGCTGAACAAATTTGATTTATACAAAGAGTTTAGAAGAATCTTAATTTGATGAATCATTCAGATGCACAAATGCTTATCAGTGCTACAAGGAGGTTATTATTTATACTGAAAATAAGCACGGATACTTAGCTATATATTTTTTTTTTTTATAGATCAGTATTTTTGATCTGTATTTTATTATTATTTCAAAAAAATCAATAAGCAGCAGTATGGCAAGTTGTATAGTTTTAGTGGCCAGAGACCCTTTGCACCTTACTATAATGGGTAGTCGAACTATTTTTTGAATGGCTTGACGCATACCTGGATACCCTGGGCACCTGCAATTCAGCTCCACTCTTCAGTTACTAAAGCAGAAGTTCCTGCTTCCACATTAGATATATCAATAGAAACTCTCAGCTAATGAATTCTGTCCAAAAAGTGTCAGAATTGATGCAACTAAAGTGGAAACATGGACTTTACCTTTAGTGATATCTGATGATTGGCTTGATCTGTCCCTGGGACCTAGATTAGTATGGTTATAGTTTGACTACTACCGGGAGATGTTTCAAATAGGTATCATATATGTAAATTTATTACAAAATATGCAAAGTGTATTTAAAATTCATAAAAATCCATTACTTGCACAGGCTGGAAGAAACTCCACTGTTGAGGATCCTCTCATTCTGGTCTAAGGTGGTGTTTTTTGTTTTTTTTAATGCCTTTCCTGTTTTTTTCTGTGAAGTATAGATTTGAGATAAGTAGTTCAGCCTCAGCTCTACCTCTCCCTTTAATTTCTGCTAATGCTATCAGCCTATTCATTGTACTGTACATATTGCTCTTCCAAGCTGCTGACTCAGGCTGTCTTTAGCAACAGAGATGGGAGAGATTGTGACAATAAGACACCCCAATAATCACCAGTGAGAACTATGTGTAGGGTAAACATGTACATATTACCCTTATCCTCCATAATGTAGATATAACAAGATTGCTCTATACCAGGGGTAGTCAACCTGGTCCCTACCGCCCACTAGTGGGCGTTTTGGAATTTCAGGTGGGCGATTGTGGGTTCTGCAGAAAACGCCCCGTGGGCCTCGATGGCTGTGGACTAAGGCCAGCAAGGGAGATCCTTTCATCTCCTCTACATGCCCATGCAGAGCCAGCCTTGCTGTACGCCCTCTCGGGCTGGTGAGGAGATCAAAGATTTCTCTCACCAGCCTGCTGGCACTTAGTTACAGTAGAGGGAGGGAAGGGCCTGAGAGGAGTTTTGCCATGTGTTGCCATGTATTACCAATGCTTCTATACAGTCTATTTTTTGGACAGAATTTATTCACTGAGAGTGAATAGGAGAGTCAGCCTGCAGCCGTAGGAGCTGCAGGCTTAAGTGAACATGCCACCACTGGACCACCAGGGCTTACAGCACTATGTCCCCCCTCCCTGCTAAAAGGTAACAAGAAAGGAGGTGGAGACATTGAGATACATTTTCACATCTCACCCACTTACACACAGCATAGACACTATGCACCCTTCACACACTACACATACAGACTGCCCGCCTCATGCACTCAACTCTTCACACACGCACTGCCCCCTCTCACACGCACAGTACCTCTCCCTCACACACAGCACCTGACAGACACATATAAAAAAAAAATACAAAATAGATTAATTTAAATAGAAACAGTGGTACCTTGGTTTACAAATGTAATGCGTTCTCTGGGACTTTTCGTATTGCGAAAAGTTTACCAGTCAGACTGGGTCCATTAAATATGGCCCCAGCTGACAGAAGGAGCCTTAGGTATTGATTAATACCTATGTCTCCCTAGAATAAGCAGTGATTTAACCCTGCTCCCATCAGAACGTTCGGATGTGCCATCACGCCCTAATGGCATTAAAGCCTGGGATTTGGAGGACGTACTGGTATATTGTAATGCTGTCAAGGCATTAAATCACTTTTGTTTCTTTTTATGCAGTTCTAGCCAAACGTCCCCTAGCAGTGACTCACACAGCCTACTTGAAAAATGGTTTAATTTTTAATCCAGTCTTACAGAACACTTATCTTTAGAAGTTATATCTCTTTCTATTCAAATCATCCATAATTGGTACGTTTTTACTTAACTCTGCGACATCATTCACCCCAGTATATGCTTCTTCAGTAGTGTTTACAAGGGGGAGGAAATGAGAAACTCTCACTTCTGCTCTGCAAGTGACAGATCCTCTTTGGAGATGGACAATCATATATATTTTTTTGAAGATCAGTGCTGAATACACCTACCAGCTCATATGTAAACATAGTTACTCCAATCACCATGACCACCGCAGTGATTTGAAATGGTCATAATGGTAGAAGTATGTATGTGTAGGGTTTCTGCTTGAAACACTGCACTTACAGAGATATTAGTAGCTATGTGCTGGGAGCAAGTTGCACTCCCAGCACAAGTGACTTTGGCAGCACAGAGCTAGTATCAATTCTGTGCATAAATTGCGTCTGTTGTCTTCACACACTGCATGCTGGCAACAAATGTAGAAATATTCCCTTTAGAGGCAGGGTGCCTGTAAGCGGGCACCTCCATCCAGTGCTGGCAGTTTTTTTGTTTTTTATTTAAAAAGCCCTCCCTCTATCTCCCCTCTCTTCCTACTGGCCAAAAGTGTGCGCATGCGCTCCAAGCAGGCAGTTGGTGCAATCACAGGTTTCTCTCTGGATTCCAGGTAAGTAAAAAGCCCAATAGGGCACAGCAAGGGTCTTCTCACTCCAAACGGTTAAAAAAAAAAAAAACACCCTTTAATAATGCAGAGCAGTAGATGTTCTAACACAGTAACCTAATATAGGAAATTGGATAAACGTTGCATGGCATGCTGAAAAGTCTTTTTCCAGGCCTATAATATGATTTATACACAAGAAGTAAATATGTAAGATTTACAGTCTGTGTGAGTGAATACTGAACAAATTGAATGATCTTCAATCTGCAATTCATTGCAAATCTAAATCATCACACGGAATGAGTTTGATATTGCTTCCTAATAACATGACATTTCCCGATACTGCTGTATCTTTTTTTTTTCTCTTTCTCAATTGGTGCAGATTCCGTTGTTATTCAATATAATTTTTCAAATTGAATTTGGTATTGTACAGATATTAATGGACACATTAAAGCTACTCAAATGTCACTGTAGTTTGATTTTACTACTATCCCATTACACCTGAAGAAAATTTATTTCTTCTCCCGGCTGTGTCATGTAAAGAGAATAAATCTCTCTCAATACGCGATTACTGAAGATAAAAAACAATCAAAGGTATTTGCAAGTTCAGAGTTACATTTCTGTAGAGCAATGAAGTTTTATTGTCATTAGTTTGGTTGGCAGTTACAGTTTGAAGCTCCCAACACACACACCCTTGGGGTAATTTAATAAATGAAATGTGGAGAATTGACAAGGGAATGTATAGACAAAATTGTAAAGATAGAGAAATACTTGAATAAGAAAACCTTCTCAAACTGGCTACTGGTGGCCTAAATTATCCAACTGTTTTGTTCGTTTGTCCACAATTTCTGGATTAGTAAATAAACATCTATGACTTCTTTAAAGGGACACTATAGTCCCCAAAACAACTTAAGCTTATTGAATCTGTTTGAGTGTATAGATCATGCCCCTGCAGTCTCACTGCACAATTCTCTGCCCTTTATGAGTTAAACCACTGTTGTTTCTGATTATACAGCTAAAGCCACACTTCCCCTGGCTGTGACTGACACAGCCTGCTGATAAAAATGGTTTCACTTTTAATCAGATGTAACTTACTTTAAAAGTTTTAAAATTGAACTTTTATCACATACAGGAGGATCCTGCAGAGTCTAGCAAGGTATTAACCGAGCAGGAGATAAGAAATTCTAAATTAAACAGAATTTGCAATAAAGGAAGTGTAAACATTAGATGACTTTACAGAAACTGTTTAGGAAGGCTGTGCAAGACACATGCAGTAAGGTGTGGCTAGGGCTGTATAAACAAAGAGATTTAACTCCTAAATGGCAAAGAATTTAGCAGTGAGACTGCAGGGACATGATCTATACACCAAAACTACTTCATTAAACTAAAGTTGTTTTTGTGACTATAGTGTCCCTTAAAATTATTTTGTTCTATATGAGTCTGCAACCCTTCAACGCAGATGCTTATTTTTGGCCCATATCCCTCTCTCCCCTGGCACCATCTCAATATGTTGCTTTATATCACTCCCTCTGCCAGTCACTCTGTGTAGAATGTCCTAGCTGATGGCAATAAAGGATCTTCATTATCCTCTACCCAGTCTGAGAAAGTGGTTGTTGCCGAGAGCTGCTTTCTCGTCCAGGTATAAGATAATGAAACTGCTCGCAGTCTGTGAGGCCATGTCGCAAAAAAGTAATAGAAGGCGTGGGAGCAAGAGACACAAGTATGAGGGTTAGAAGACACATGGGGTACGCGCCACAATGGAGAGTGTAGGAGACACAATAGGGGAGGCAGGAGATACAAGAGGGTTGAAAGAAATGGAATGGGAGCATGAGAGACATAAAATGCAGGAAAGATGCAAGGGGGGGATAAGAAACAAAATGGGGGTAAGACAGAACAAATGGGGATAAGAACACAAAAAGGGGTTAAGAGACACACAATTGAAAAGAGACACCAGAGGGACGTAAGACATGAGGGGGTGTAAGAGACTATAGGGGTGCCAACATACATTTTTGCCCCAGGTGCCAAGTAACCTAAGTCTGCCTCTGCCCCCCACTATGTTCTTCCATCTTCCTTCCCTACACCCCTCTCCTCCTGCATCTCCATCTTCTCTAACCTCCTCCCCAGCATGCACCACCCTTCCCATTCTCTCCCTGTGTACCACAATCATGTCCATTCTTACTTTCCTGCACTTTTTCTTGCTCCCACCATCCTACCTATGCATCTCTCTTCCATCCCATTTGCCATCCTTGCACTTCATTCTCTCCAGTTTCCCTTCAATGCACCCCTCCCCTCTTTTCCCCCACCATCCAAGCCCCAAACCTCTTTATCACCTCATTTCCCCTTCCACATCAACTCCCATTTTCTTCACCCTGCACCCCCTGTCCGTATGTCATCCTTCTCTGCTCGCCATCCATTCCTGTTCTACCCTATTCCCTCGGCAGCTTTCCCTCCTGCATATAATGTACACCCTGCTCCCCTACACCTGTCTACCCCCCACCTTCCATTCTCTCCCCTTCTCTTGGCTCCCAACACTCAGCCTGCTCCAATAGTGTCAGCGTGCAGCGCCCCCTGCTGGCCTCCCCTCCCAGCTCGCTGCCCCCTCCTCTCCATTTGTACATGTGCCGCCCATGGTTTCCGGTAAGCTGCCGGCTGGGACTTCTCCTCCTCCTGCAGCCCGGCGCAGATAATGCGGCCGATCAGCAGCGGGATCCGGACAGGGGATCAGGTACCCGGGCAGCGGGAGGGTGTGTGGGGCTGGCTGTGCATGGCATAGGGTGTATGAGCCATCTCCATCCATCTATACTCTGCTTCCCTTACTGTGCACAGTGACACTTTCTGCCATAGCGCAAACACATGGGGTAACGCAGTACAGGGGGAGGGGGTAGCCTGTCACAGATTACTGTAACGTTTCTGTTACAAGCTATAAACACAATGTATCCGTCTAGAATTCCATGTGCTTTTTAACCCTTTGAATGGAAGTTCTTTTTTCAGAATGTTGTGATCCATTGGCCTTTTCATATAGGGAATATATATTCATATATAAAAAAAAAAAAACTGTTCTATATATTTTTTTAAAATCAGAATACTACAAGGTGATGGATAGGACAGGTTACTGACTTATAGAATCCCTAGAAGGGAAACCCTTTCACCAGAGGGGCACTGTCATTAAATAAAGTTACATAGTTTAGCATAGCAGCCTGTAAAAAAAGATACAAGTGCATAATGCCCACCTCATCTATGTTTTTGGTTTTTGAAAAGAAAATTGAAAAACTTTGTCACGACCTATGAAAGTTTTGCACAAAGCCATAGCTTACAGACAGGGTTACTTAGTGTGAATTTCAACTGACAGAACAAAATAGGTGAATCAGAAAAATGATCAAATTCGGCTTTGTTTTCATTCTCACTTCTTTAACCCCTTAATGACCAAATTTCGGGAATAAAAGGGAATCATGACATGTCACACATGTCATGTGTCCTTAAGGGGTTAAAAGCTGTTTGTGGTGCACATTTTTTTTTAAAATAGCGAATAATATTTATTTAATTTAATTTACACCTTGTAAGAGCACACCATACAAATTTGACTGTACAGTACTAAGGAGGGAATTATCCATCCCAACTTTTCCTGTATAGTGTTTGTCAGCTGATGCTCAATCACATATTCTCAAACCAAGTGCATCCTGGGGCATCTCCCGGAAAACTGATGTGCTGCGGAGTTAAGTGGTACTTGTCTCCACAGTACTCCTTTTCTGAGGGGTAAGACCAGATGGAACTGTCAAGGAACTGTTACTTTTACAGGTGTAGTTACTCTTTAATATCTAAAGAAATTAATAAGTGTGTATTACTGTGATATGTAAGGCGTTATTGGAAATGTTTGTATATTTGTGAAATGTATTGGTATATAGGTTGTAATGAGTAAATCTATAACTGCACTCGTTAAATATAAATCATTAAAACTCATGTCAAGTGAAGGTGCAGACTGCTTTAAAAAAAAATAAAAAAAAATTGCAACTGTATATCGGTACAGTTGCATAGATATATCCTATATTTGTGTGTAATGCTCATGTTTGTGCAAAGTTGTGTTTTGTGTGTAGTGTTGACGTTTGAATGCAGGGGTGAGTTTTCGTGTAATGTTGATGTTGGCATACAGGCGTATATTCACAAATATCTATACATTGCCACACACAGATGCCTATAGAGAAGCAAGCGCACACAAAGTAACATATACTGGCACAAACACAAAAACACTACTTTTCTCTCTTGAGTCCAGTTCTTTCTTCTGTGGTCTTAAGGTGTGCATGTCAACTCCCGATGGGCTCCAAACTCTATAGTGCTTGGATTACAGAGTATATTCCTAATGTTACAGTGCTCTGTTGGTTGTTTAGGTCTCCACCTGCAGGGAGCAAAAGACGTATTTTACTTAACTT